AAGGTACTACAGCGCTTGCCACACGCACGGTCCAGGGATCAAGTTCTGTGCCGTGTACCGCGCAGGCCAATCAAGCTCTCAATCCTCCTGAGGTTAGGACTAGACTCATCTGGGACGAGAAAAACCCTGACGTGTACATCTGCTGGCCTGAAACTGCGTAGACCAAGTCGACCCTCCCATTCTGAATGGGAATTGAATGTGTGGCCCAGCAGAGAGCAGCAAAGAGATTGATCAACGAATGGTTTATGCTTTCTATGTATCAACCGGTACAATTGTAGTTCATCATCTAAGCACCTGAGACTGTGAACAAAGCTTATAGGCGTGGTGCATCAACTTTCGCCTTCTGCGCGTGATTCATCCAGAAAACTGAAGTAAATTTAAAGGAGGATGCCGCGATAAGGTCTAGGTCGAAGAAGAGGTAGCCCGCCTAGTTGAAAGGCAGGCGAGCCCTTGAGAGTGCGGGATGATGCATATTTCGCAGCGAAGAATGTCTCCCAGCGGCAGGAGCAGGGCCATTCTTGCGTCGTGGCACGCCCACCCTCCAGCCGTTTAGCAAAGAGAGAGCGTTAGCCGTGAAGACGGCAGCACCGATGAGAGTCGCATAACTGCGGAAATCAGCAGGCGAAAAAGGGTTCCATTTCTGGTTCTGGGCCGTTTCGATGGGTTTCCTTCAATCTCTGCACCTATGCCTTGGTTTCTATTGGGCAGCCTTTTCAATGTAAATTCTGTCTTAAAGCAACTTCTTTGCGCCACGCATTCAAATTCCATTCAGAATTGTAAATGGCTTGGGTTGCCCGACACATGGGCCCATGTACTGAGTTGCAGTTGTAATCCGATGTACAAACTACGGTTGTCGTACTATTACTGGTCTGGGACCAACAGAGCATTCGTTTTGATTGTTTGAAACATGGACGACCCTTCTACGTTAAATTCGGAGAACGCTATAAGTGCCGAACGGAACTCAATGGTTTTTGAACTCTAGGAAGTGTCACTGCAGCTTTTATTTTTCGGTTTTTGATAAAAACTAACGAATTCCTCTCTCTGACTCTTGGGTACTGGGAAAGCAAAAAATAAG